AGGGACTTAGAGGTGGTCAATGCACCTTATAGCAGCTGTTCAAGCGGTCATTCTGGTCATTACATCGTTATGGTCGCTGGGCTTTTATTATATAGGATTCCTGAAAATTGAGGAAAAAGGCAAAAAGTAACCCAGAAATGCAAGAAGCTAAGGAAAAACAGTAATGAACTTATTAAAGAAGGCCACAGAAACGAAATACAAGGAAGAGGGTTTCATGAACAGATTTAGGATCCACAAGCAGGAGAATACTATCCACGCACCCCACCTGCCCGTTCCCCTTTTTGTGCCTTTGAAACACTGTGAAGTGTGTGTTTGTCACTTGTCTGCAGTGCACACACACACCAGCGATCTGTAAGTGAAGTGGACTTGCAAATGGAACTTGACCGTTCCCAGCCTTCAAATATTAGATTCTCTCCCACCTCATCCACCCAGCTCCCCGGGTCCTTTATCACGGGCACCTGAGTGAAGGCCCCTGGTAAACGTCACCCTGCCTGAAATTCACCCCCGGAAGCTACCAGTCTACAGGCTGGATGGAGTTCGTTTGGTCCCTTTTTTCCAAAAAATTGAGAAGAACTTGAATTAAAAGGAAAGGGGAGGATGGGAGGAGAAGTCCATCATTTAAGGTGGGGACTTGAACAAAATATTCTTCTGCTTTTTAATTACCGATTTTCGTTTCAGTTCAGTTAGCAAGAGACCAAACCAGCTACGTATCATGAAGTTGGCAAGTACCTGGTTTGTCCTGCAGGCACGGCAGCCTTTTCGCGGTGGAAATTGTGTGGCCTCCTGTACTATTAGCCTTGCGCTGTGGTGTTGCCAACTGATTTCTCCAATTCTCTTTTCTCAGTGGGCTAGAACGCAGCTGGTTAAATAGGCCGTGACTCACATAAGCTCCCGTGTCTTTTTTATTGGCTGTTTTATGGAAATGTATCACACGCTAAAGGGTCCCCATTGTTGCTGCTGTGAGTAGCTGAGTGAGGAGTCAGGTTTAGCACTGAGAGATGGAATCCCACTCTGTCGTTTTTTATTGCAGAGTTGGGGATGGGGTGGGATACGGGTTTAGAGGAATCTGGGTGAGGAGAGAAGGATGTCTGGGAATTTCTTTTATCTTTATCTGCCATGGAAGTTGGGTGGCCATCACTTCTGGGTAACACACTGCTCTGTTGATCTTATCTGTATGGCCCCACATCATTCAGCTAAGTGAATCTTTTCTTTCTATAGGCTGTTCTGACAGTTTTCGTTAAGTGTCGTGGTAGAGAGAGATTATGACACTAATGTAATTCTGTTTTGTGCTGATATAATGTGATACACCCTAAGGTTTATCCAAGAGGACCATTCATTCCCAATAAATCTAAATCATTTCTTATCTTTTTTCAGGTAATAGACAAAAAAAAAAAAGCCCTCAATTTTTTTTAAATTGCATATTTAAATATAAATGTTTCTGCCTTAAAATAGCAATTATTTGTGGCTTCTTTCTATTTTTATTATCGTCCTGCAAGGCATTTCCATACTTGTATTCTGCATTAAGTAACTCTGCACATCTGTTCACTTGCCAGTAGGTATCAATTCGGACCTACAAGACTCCTCCTGTCTCATCACCCCAGGACGCGGGCTAACGTGTGCACCCTCAGGGTAATCAGTTCTCCATCAGTAGGACCCTGAACTGACACTGAAAGAGGAGATAGTTTGATTGCCACAGTGGCGCCCCACTTTGGTTGTCTAGACCAGTGGTTCTCAACCTTCTGGCCCTTTAAATACAGTTCCTCATGTTGTGACCCAACCATCAAATGATTTTCGTTGCTACTTCATAACTGTCATGTTGCTACTGTTATGAATCGTCATGTAAATATCTGATATGCAGGATGGACTTAGGCGACCCCTGTGAAAGGGTCATTTCCACCACCAAAGGGGTCGCGACCCACAGGTTGAGAACCGCTGGTCTATATTTATCTGATAAGCCATGGAGCTGATGAAATAGAGCTCACAGTCAACTTTACATCGAGAACAACTCTGTTATTGTACAGCGCCCTGCCACATGGAAAACGATCAAAAGAATAGAGATTGATTTTATTTGGTTTCCTCATTTTTTTCCATAGCCATTCCAAACGTCACCTGTAATCCCGTGTTTCCCACTTCCCACAGGAGAAACCAGGCAAGAGAGTTCATCAATACAGAGTCCCTTTAATAAGAAAGCAACCTCACACATCTTACAAAATACTGCAATTTCCAGCTCTGTTCCTCTTCAGAATCTTGTTGGTAAACGACCAAGAAAGGAAATTCGGCAACTCATTCAGTGCCCGACTGTAGAGCGCCAAGTGTGACGTTGGGGAGGGAAGGCGGTGACGGTGCTGTCTCTCGTCTCCCGGAATCGGTGACTTGAAGTCCAAGCATCTCTGCTGCACGATGTCTTTGTTTTCTTGGTGGCGGCATTCTTGGGTTTCGGTTGGTGGGGAGAGAAAAGCCTCATGCTGATAATGTACTGAAAGTAAATGAAATTAAATAAGCGAAGCAGTGCTCATCACTACTTCCTTCCCCCCTGGGTAATTCAATTCAAGCTCTCTCTCTGATGGCAACTCCCAGGGACTGTCTCTGTCACCCCGCTGGGGCCTGGAGTCTTAACATCTAAATAAAAGTTTCACTCAAGCATTTTTTATGCTCCTGTCAGCAGGATCAGTGAGCTGGTGTGGGCACATTAATGTAATATTCATACTCACAGACTCTCCCCGCACACAAGGCACTGTCTTCCCATTTTCATAATTATAGATGTTCCAGAAAATGGCATTTAGATTTGCATTTTTAAAAGGAGGTTTGGAGTCTAATAGAACGTTTAACGTGTCTTTTATGATTCAGACTCTCGGCATCTTGAACAGGTAGCTGTGTCTCTTAAGTTTAACAAGACCTTAAAAGAAAAAAAGGAAAAGGTAGGGGAAACCCATGGGATAAAGAGATGGATACTTCAAGCTTAGGTGACCCTATTTTCCTTATCTCCTGTGTTTTTTCATTTAATGTTTAGGCCTCTAGGAGCAATTTTTTTATCACACCGCAGAGAGGATAGGCTCTGCTTCAAAGGGCCTTCTCAGCCGTACGGCTCCTCACCCCATCCTCAGTAGGATCTGTTTCTGTTTTCTTGGAGAGCATCTTCAAAGAGATAATAGATTTTTCAGAGAGGTGGGAGAAATGAAAGGGTCCTAGACAAACGAATTTTCCTTTGTTGCTGTTAATCTCATGTGTGCACCCTGAGACTTCTCTGGGAGGATTTATAGCAGCCACAGAGTTCGCTAACTGTAAAACACACAAATCCGAACAGTCCGTAAACAAGGAAGTTGACAATGTGGACAAATAGGCATTTAGACATGCTAAAAAAGAAAAAAAGAGAAGCTCTTCTGATTCATGTGTTTAAAACTAAGCTTGGGACAGCTTAGAAGCAAGTGGTAATTTTAGTTACATTTTGCATTGTCTGAAAATGTTATTTTTAAACGAACAGTATGTAAAGCACTGAGCAAAGTAGCCATCACTGAATAAAAGTTAGTTATTGTAGGAGATATTTTTAAAAATCGTGTAGTTGAAAAAAAGTATTCCACCCAACGGTCTCAAGATATTGCATAGGCTGTGCCTCATTTTGGTTTGTGTTTTGTTTGCTTTCTAAATATTTTAAGGCAAACGACAAGAGAATTGGGTTTGGGGACTAGAAGAATACGTATTAGGACTACACTAACCCACTCCTTTTATTTCTCCTAATTAAGAAATATAGAATTATATTTTTTAAAGAGTTTTGGGGGTGGGGGTTGTTGTGTTTCTTTTTTTTATCCTCACCCGAGGATATGTTTATTGATTTTAGAGAGAGAGGAAGGGAGAGAGAAAGAGAGAAACAGCAATTAATTGCCTCTTGTACACACCCCAACCAGGGATCGAACTGATAAACTAGGTAAAGTGCCTGCAACTAACTGAGCCATCCAGCCAGGGCTCACTTTATTTTTTGAGGAGTAAATTTCTTCCTCTTTGTCTCTGTTCTTTGCCCCTCCCTTCTGTAAAATAAGTATAAACTCCGAAGGTGGAAGATGAATCAGGATCTTGACTTTTCAATAAATTTGTACCTAATCAGGCTAGCTAATCGAAAGCTAGGAATGTTAGCAGCATGCAATTAAAGGCTGGTGTCAGCCCTAACCGGTGTGGCCCAGTGGATAGAGCGTCGGCCTGCGGACTGACGGGTCCCAGGTTCGATTCCGGTCAAGGGCACGTACCGTGGTTGCAGGCACATCCCCATTAGGGAGTGTGCAGGAGGTGGCTGATCGATGTTTCTAATCTCTATCCCTCTCCCTTCCTCTCTGCAAAAAAATCAATAAAATATATTTTAAAAAAATAAAAATAAATAAAAGCTGGTGTCAGTTCCAGGATCTTCTCTTCATAAAAGCTTCCACCATTCTTAGACTCCTTCCCATACTTTGACAAAACCAGGATTTGGCAGTCATTGCCAAGTTCAGCTTGCATAACCCTTCTTTGTATGAACTTAAGAAAATGTATGTTCACTAAGGTGGCTGTTTGCTTAAAAAAAAAAAGAAAAAGGAATGTGTGTTTATTGCTCCTGAGGTGACTGTGTTCGTGGTGAACTCTCACTCATTAAGGCTTGTCTGTGCTGGTGGCTGTTCATTTGACTGTTGATTATCTCAATGTGGATTATCCAATGTGGAGCTTCTATCCACGGCACATTCTTCATTCTCTGGAGTCCTTTTCTGGCCAATGAATACATATTTAGGCTACCTCCCCGTGCACAAACGAATGTATGTGTAGGTCATTTTAAGTGATTTTAGCCTTAGATATACTTGGGAAGAAAGAAAATTTACTTTTTTCCCCCCAGTCATTTAGAAGTTGTTTTATTTTGTGCTGTGTTTAAGCAGTTGTTCTTCTGTACCCCTTCATTAATGATTGTAGACTATCGAAAGTAGCCTAAATAAATGAAAATTCTGTCAGGTTCCAATAAAGCATTTTGCTGTTGTTCCTTTTAGGAATGGAAGACTTCCCAAGAGGAGCTCAAGAGCTTGATAGCATCATCAAGCAAGGATACTTGGAGAAGAAAAGTAAAGGTAACGACCAGACCCACCGATCTCAGAACATTCCAGGAAGGGAAGGGAAATGAGGAAAAGGAGGCTAGCACAGCAGGTGTCTTCTCTGGGCCCAGGACTCTGTCAAGTAGGTGGAAGGCAAAAGGAAGGGAGGGAAAGAAGTCGGTGTGTAGGCTAAACAGAGATGGCCCCAAGTCCTCAGCAGGTTGTGAGCTTCGTCAGGAAAGGGGCTGGATCTACCTTGCTCACCTGGTATACAATAGGTGCTTAATAAATTCTTGTTGAATGAACAAATGAATGCTATTCTTGTTCTCATCTCTCAGTGTACTCCCATGAAGAATGAAGCTATGTTGCCTAGAGCAGCGGTTCTCAACCTGTGGGTCGCGGCCCCTTTGGGGTTGAACGGCCCTTTCACAGGGCTCGCCTAAGACCATCGGAAAACACATCTATAATTACATATTGTTTTTGTGATTAGTCACTATGCTTTCGTTATGTTCAATTTGTAACAATGAAAATACATCCTGCATATCAGATACTTACTTTACGACTCATAACAGTAGCAAAATTACAGTGATGAAGTAGCAACGAAAATAATTTTATGGCTGGGGGTCACCACCACATGAGGAACTGTATTAAAGGGTCGCGGCCTGAGGAAGGTTGAGAACCACTGGCCTAGAGCATCATTTTGGTTTGCTAAAAGGCAACACATAACGATATCATGGAGAATTTGAAAAGTACAGGGTAAGATTTGAAGCTGAAATAAAGGAAGATAGGCAGTGGTCAGGGGTCAGAGCCGGCAAACCCTGTTTAGAACTTGGACCTCTGACTGCACAAGTCATCTGGACCCTGAGTCAATATGGGATAACCTGTGGGAGTGGACGGGAGGGTTTTACAGTCCATTAACCTGGGAAATAAAACAGTAACACGCTGGACTGTGTGTGGTTAGATTTTGCGGACTCTTCGGTGACTGTAGTTACCTGGATTTATGTCCCTTACTGCTGTTCCATTCAGACCCCAGTTTCTTCGGATCGGAGTGGCAGAAGAGATGGTGTGTTGTCAGCAGAGGCCTCTTCTGCTACTATGCTAATGAGAAAAGTAAGTGTTCTTCATTTGCACAGCAGCGTCTCACTCCTGGATGCCAACACTCCGTAAATTCTCAAGCACTTGGATCTCAAGACGGCAATCCTTAACTAACACCCATAAAGGGACCTGCTTGGGAAAGGAGCAGGCTTGAGTAAATAATACCTCGCCTATCACCAGACACTCAGATGCCAATTTAGAATTGATGTCCCCATAAACACTAGGATATTGTGGTCAGCATGTCGAAGCCTTATCTTTTATTATGACTAATAACATTAACAAGGTTGAACACTTTGGCATTTAAAAAAAAAAAAAGAACCTCCAACTCTTAATAATGTCATTAAAATTTGAAAATAAATGAACTCTGAGAAGGATTTAAACAGCTGACCAACGGCCCAGGAATAGAACCTTCAAGTCCAAACTCTCTAAGAACATGTTTCAAACTGTATCCTACTGACTCCTGGGAAGTAACCCAGGGGACGTCCCTGGAGCCATGGAGTGTTGGGACCCAAATGGTCGCTGTGCCCAAGAGACACCCGTCAGGCAGATGGCAGCCGCAGCAAAGTGTTGACTCAGGCCAGAGCAGCTTCTTCATCAGCCACCGCTGACTCAATCAACCACAACACTCATAAGCTATCCCTGGAAGAACTCCCATCCATGCTCAACACAGTTGCTTAATTCGTGAGAAGGAACAGAAAATATAAGCACAAATTGAAGGCAGCCACAAATCTACACAAGCTGAACATTACCATTTTAGGTGAATGCAAACTTTCCAACAGGATATCCTCGTACAGAGTCAGGCTGTCCCAGGAGTAACCCTGCAAAGCAAGAGGGAGACGAAGTAAAACAGAACATCAATTCTTTGGGGTGGGGGCGGGGGCAGGCGGGTTTCCTTCTGCTCTATGGCCTTGGTACAGAGGCCAATGACCCAGAGTAAATTCTTCCTTTTCCTTCAGATCATTTCCTGTTTCTCCACTCTCCCTTCTTTCCCAGGCCTATTCCTCCCCCAATGCCTGGATATCCAGTCTGAGACATAATCAGACTTTACCCCATTGCCTTTGAACTTTCCTGCACCTTTGGCTCTAAGGTAGCAGAAAGGACTGCAGTTTTGCTAAATGACTTGGAATCCTTAAGATTTGCCCTCGGGCTTTGAGGCAATTGTCTCACCTTGCCTCTCTGCCTACTACTGCAAGTATCACTGACCTTCATCTTGGGTTCACCATCTCGGATTTTTCAGGGCCTTTCCATCTAGGGGTCAAGTGTGAAGCCCTGCTTAGACATGATAGCAGCATACCCTCAAAAAGCTGAGTAACAAGTCCCCTACCCAAACTCCAGCCCACTCTCAAATCCAGCGACCACAATTTCTCCCCTGAATTCTTGGCTTACAAGCCAGCCAGGTGTGATTTTCTTATTTTAAACCTTCAAGCTAATACAACATGTAGGTCTTTGTGAAAATGTTCGTCCTTCCCCTTGCATTTAAATAAGCGGTTGGCATATCTGAACAGAAAACCAAGTATTGTGTTCATTCATTCGGAATCCTTTACACTCCAGGTGAGAGGGAGAACGGGAGCGAGAGACTAGGAGACTTTTATTGACCATTTTGCTGTCAGGGTGAAATAAAAGCTGGTGACCGAAGAAACAACAAAACATTTTAGTGGCCAGTTAGAACAAGGAGAGATACTTTAACAAAAAAGATTCTGGTGTCAGAAAGCACTGTTGCATGGCTCCCTTCTCGCCAGTTACTTCTTATTGTGCCCAAGACGTTTTCTTAGTAAATACAGAGTGTTTGTGTATTTTTTTTTTTTAGCTCAACCAGAGAAGGACAGAATCTTTTTCTTTTAATTATTGTCAGTCCACTGCCATCCTCCTCATCATCATCATCAAAATGTCCTTATTAAGCAATTCATTCCACATGATACAGAACACAAAGCATCACCCAGACACGATGGTGCCTGTCCTATGCATTCTGCCTGAACACATCATGAAGACACAGAATTCTTGGGAACCACTTCTTCCCTTCCTGTTTCTAATATTTTTTTCAAGGGAGTGACAGGCAGGATACTGTCTATTCCTGGGCCGTTGGTCAGCTGTTTAAATCCTTCTCAGAGTTCATTTATTTTCAAATTTTAATGACATTATTAAGAGTTTGAGGTTCTTTTTTTTTTAAATGCCAAAGTGTTCAACCTTGATAATGTTCTCAGTCATAATAAAAGATAAGGCTTCGACATGCTGACCACAATATCCTAGTGTTTATGGGGACATCAATAAGGTGGGGGTCCTTCGCCTTTTATCTCCTTCCTCAGCATCTGATGATATTCAACATTACTCTGCTACTTCCCAATTTGACCTCTTGGAAGGAGGATAAAATACTGAGTTTTAATTACTCTCCCTCTAGCATAAACCCCCACCCGGCCAGTAGGAGGGGGAGAACAGTTTAGCCCACAGGCTGCATCGGGCATAGGAGGAGATCCTGGGAACTTAGAATGCCCCCTGCGCTGCTATCCCTCCCCTCAAATGTGAGCTCTGTTGGACCTGATCATCATGTTTCATTTCTATAACAGCCTTCAAGAGCCTCACCTTTACAGCCACGCTCTCCCTGCTGTAATAATTCCTTCTTTCTGTTATTATAGATCTCTTAACATTCTAATAAATTCTCTGTCTCCGTTGTGCTCCTTTGGCAAAATAACCTTTCCTGTAGCATTTCCCTAACTTGGCAGTGATGCCTGCCTCGCTGTCACAGTAGCCTCTCCTTAAGCGTCCCTAAAAACCTTTCCTTGACTCATGTGGTTCCTCAGGGATGTAACAGCTGCTTCTGTGCTTGTATTTTACATACCAGAGAAGATGCCTTCCCTTGGCAGTTGCGTCTCTCTCTAGGGGTACAGAGAGCTTTCCTGTCTTGCAGGCAAGCAGCCCAAAGGGACCTTTCTCATTAAGGGCTACAGCGTACGGATGGCCCCCTACCTGCGAAAAGACTCCAAGAAAGAATCCTGCTTTGAACTGACCTCCCAGGATAGGCGCAGCTATGAGGTAGGATGAACCAAGGAGATGGACAGTGGTCCTCCTTCATGTTGCAGGTTCCTTCCATGTTGCATGTGAGCCGTGGTTGCTATGCTGGGTTTCATCCTTTCTCTGTTACCTGTTCATTTTCTACTCAGACCTTCTTTCTTGACAGGTCGACATCTTTGCTGTGTTATGCCCTCCCTTCTCTCCTGTCGGCTGCCACTCTCATCCTAGATACTGCCTCCACCTGGCTTCTATCTCTTCATCCCTCCTCCTTTCGGTCTTACTCCATAGGTGAGAGTCTTGTCATCTATTGCGGCGCACAATCTAATTCCTCATTCAGAGTCTCTAATTTCATGGCTTTAATTCCCATTCTATTTTGCAATGGATTATCTTCACTTTTTTCCATGAAATCCAGAAAAAGAAAAATCTGACTGTCAAGTGAGATTTTCATCTTGCTATCCAAAATAATCTTCCTGTGTGTAGATGCACTGCATTATCTTTGGACGGTTCCTAAGATATTGGTGACAATGATTACTGAATAGTAATAGTGATAACTGAGGGAGTAGACCTAGGTGGGGGTAAGAAAGACTTATTCTTCACTGTATTCATTTTTAACATATTTTGATATAATATGTAATGCATTTATAGCCTATTACAAAATTTTTAAAGCAATAAAAAATGTCTGACTATGAGAATATAGTGATTTTCAACAAAAATGTATTTGTGCATATATATATATACATATTGTTTCCTGCTTATGGGTAATTTTTATCTTATCACAATTTTATGACAACAGTTTAGAAAACCTTTAACTAACTTGTGAAAAAGAGAAAAACCATGCTAAGGTTAATATTAACCATTATGTAACCCTTTGACACCAAGTTTTTGTCAACATTCATCCTTTTATGTTTCTACAGTATCTTAACCCTTGTTTTGTAAATGACCTAGTTCTTCATTATATGATTTCAATTTTTTTTAATTTAAACTTTGCTATAGAATCATTTATAAATATATATAACACAGATATATGCACTGGGTATGTTTCTAAGTTATTTTTACTATTCAGCGCTGATAGCGCCTTATTCAGATAAAATTTATATGACAAATCTAAGTCCATTTCCCTAGACTTTTTTTATACAAATGTGTTTTTAAAAAACCAAGAATGACAATGTCTATCAATAAGTACTAAGCAGGAACGTAGGTTTCGTATACAGCACATATCTTTGTCTTCCCCTAATGGCCAGATAAGAAAAATGTTTTCAGGAACATTCATTTCGAGTTGATTCATTTAAAGTAAAAAATTACTCAGGATTGATGCCTGACTGGCCTGTTTTGTGAATCAGAATGTAGAGTCTGTTTACTTCTTCTTTTCTTTGGCCCATTGAGTCCAAGTCATTATCATGGTCTGTGGATTCTTCTTCTACAATATCCTTCGGATCTTCCCCTTCTTATTTATTCCCACAGCCATCACAATAGTTAAGTCCTTATCACTTCACCCAGAGGATTAGTTAAATAGCCTTCTAGTTGGTCTTCCATCTCCAATTTCTCCTTATTTCAATCCCTTCTATACGAGTAAGTCCCTTCACAACGAGTAAGTCTCCCATTCCTTTTGCTAGAATTTACAATGGCTTCCTATTGCCCACATTTTAAGTCTGCACTCCTAGTTTCATCAACTCTTCTCTGGCCCTCAACCCGTTAGCTTCATCGGTTATTGTTCTCCAGTCAAGTTTATCTGCCTACCTTCCCCATACGCGATGGTCTCATTCCTAATCTTTTGCACATGGTTTTCCCTTCCTAAACTGTCCAGCTCCCTCCACCAGTTTTCAACAACTCCTTTTAAAATCCAAGCAGAACAGCATTACCTCAACAGTTTCCCTGCTTATCCTAGGCAACAATGCTCCCTGTCTCCTCTCAACATCCAGCTGTTATCAAATGCTCCTACTTTATAATGTTTCCACTTCAAGTGTGTATGTTGTCTCCATAACTGATGCATTATTCTTTGAAGTCAGGAATTTGGGGTTGCTTTTTTCCTGTAAACTTTTATCAAATAAATGTCTGATGAATGAATAGGTAATCAAATGAATGCACATGGACATGAATTCTGGACTCAAATAGCTGTCAACATTGGATATACAAAATTGCTAAAGGGAAAAATCACGTTGAGTATTTTGGTCTTTTTTCAAAATATTAAGCAGGCAGACAATCCTAAGCTTTCAACATGACTCTGAAACATGACTCACAAGTTCCCCGCACCGTGAACCCCCCAATAGGATTCATGGAAATTTTAGTGACGGTGATAAATTAACTCACTAATTTTTCTCTAGTTTACAGCTACTAATCGTGCTGAAGCCAGAGACTGGGTGGATCAAATAAGTTTCTTGTTAAAGGGTAAGTATCATTATTATAGAAACAGTACTTGAGTAGGTTTGTAGTTGCAGTTCTATGGCATAAATATAATCCACGGGCTTCAATATGTGTTTCTTTCTACCTGTTCCCCCTTTTACCCTCCCTACCACATCTCTTATATCAGCGGTTCTCAACCTGTGGGTCGCGACCCCTTTGGCGTTCAAACGACCCTTTCACAGGGGTCGCCTAAGACCATCCTGCATATCAGATATTTACATGACGATTCATAACAGTAGCAACATGACAGTTATGAAGTAGCAACGAAAATAATTTGATGGTTGGGTCACCACATGAGGAACTGTATTGAAAGGGCCATAAGGTTGAGAACCACTGCCTTATATTATAATAGCAAATTGAGCCCTATATAAATGAGAACATAAAGAAACCATCAACCTGGAGATGATATCTTTCTAGCTCATCCACCTCCCTACAGACAAGTCTGTAATATTCATAATCACTAGAAAAGGAGATGTTGATAACCAGCTCAGCTCAATTTCATGTTTCATGATATCAAGTCATCTAGATGCAATTGAGATCCCAAATCTTCTTGTTTTGGTCTTAGTAGAAAGAAAAAACCTAAACTCAACTAGGTGGACTTCAACAACATTGGACATTAAAAACAATCGCTACCCCCAGCCCACAATAAAATGCTCCTTGCTTTCTGACTGGAGGAGTCCTGCCTGAAGATGTTAAATGACTGCTCTTTGAGTACCCTCTGCTGGCCAGCCTGCAGGCACAGCCATGGCCGTGGCCCAGGAGGCCTTGTCTGGGAGTGGCCTGGCAGGTAGACGTGGCCAACCTTCAGATGCTCCGCATAATGGTATACATCATGGCAGGGCCCTGACTCCACAGACAGAAACATCAGCTTTGTATATGGTCCACAACCGAGGGAGAAGTACGTCAACCTAAAAGCATCAAGCCTTTCATCTCTGTTTTTTTTTAATCTGCTATAAGATTTTATTGTTGATAAAAAGAAGGAAGCACCAGAGCTTTAATTACAAGAATTGCCTGTTTTACTCAGTTTATGCTTTTGCTATCACGAAAACCAACTATTGCCTCTACCAAGAGCATCCCGTATAATAGACTGGAACTAGGCAAACATGAACATTGATGGCGAGACTACAGGGTACACTCTCATCTAGGTGCCTTAGATTTATGCATGTAATATACCCCTAAGTGTGTAAACCTCAATAAAACTCAAAGCAGCTTTATTGAGCTGTACCCTGTGGTACTTTCAGAATTCCACATTGAAGAAATTATTCATTCCATTTTATTTTAAAAACAAACAAAATAATAACATATGGCTTAAGCCGCAAATGTGTCTTTGATCCCTTCCTCCTATGAGGTGGCACCAGAATTCAGATGGAAATTGTTTCAAAATCTTTATTAAAAGCCTAATGAAGCCAAACAGTTTTATTGTGTTTTGAAATGAACATCGGATGTCTCTCCATCCTTGCCTTCCCTAGAGGACCCTGACGGCACTCGCCCATCCTGCAGAGGTCCCTCAGCAAGGTTTCGGAGAACACTCTGTACTACACATCAGAGAATGAACCTTCCCAGTTCCCTATTAAAATAAAAATCCAATCTCCCTCCCCTGCCCTGGGCTCCCCAGTGCTGTGTAATGGCTCAACATCTCCTATGCCGTGACCCACTTTAAGGTGAGCCAGACTGTACAGTTGCAAAAGGACATGGTAACCGCAGCACTAAGCCGTTCCATTTGGTCTTGTATTGCTGTTATATTTTTTTCCATGTCCCCGCTTTCTGTTCCTCTCCCACTTTTGCCTTTCTCTACCAGCAAGCTTGTCTGAAATTCTGCGGTGAGATCATGGGGGAGATGAGCTTCTGACAGCTCCGATGCCCTACGGAAGCCACCGTCGTCCCCCCAGCTCTGTGCACCCTGGAGAGCCACAGGCCGTCACTCACTCTACCAGTTTTCAACTTGACGAGCAGTGCGTGGCCTGCTGGCATCTCCTCTTCTGGCCTATTTTCTTCCCTGTACCTCGTGCGCTCATTCGCACGCCCATACTTTCCAGGGCTGCTTCATCCTGATCAAGCTTTATTGCAAGGAAGGATTTATGTTGATGGTTTAAACCTGATGCAGTGCTAGTCTGGCCTTTTCTGTAGATTTCCTGCCACCAAGGCCCACATTAGAAATAATAGCACTTAACCTAGCGTTTCATTTTCTTTTGACATGTTTTATTCTCAGTCCGCCGCCTCCTTCTCCCTCTTTCCTCCCCTGCCTTATTCTTTCCTTTTTGTCCCTAACTTGAGTCATTCTCATCTCTACCTTGGCAGATCTGAGTTCCTTAACCATTCCATGTGAAGAGGAGGAAGAAGAGGAGGGAGAGGACGAGATGTATGATGATATCGATGGCCTTGACTCCCAAAATTCCGGTCCCCAGCGCAGACCCGTTATCTTGCCTGGGAGTCTAGGACCAAAGCAGCCCTCAGAGGAGAAAGAAGAAGAAGAAGAAGATATTTACGAAGTCTTACCAGGTGAGAAACTTCATCTGCTAATTATCTTCCTTGAGCTTCAGAAACTCCTGACCTGGTTGAAGAATATAAACTCTGGAAACTCCAGAGGAAGCCAACTCTCTAAGGAAGAGTGTGCAGGGAAGCTTCCGTGATTAGAAGCTCTCCCTTGCTCTGGGAGCAAGATGAATTGACCAGGGAGGGTCTTTCGTCTGTCCCACGCGAAGTAATTTATTCCATATGTCAACAAAGTGAAAGAGTGAAGAGTATTTATGTTGGTTTTCATTGGTTTACTGTGAGTTTGGGGGTGGATCATCAAAACTCATTTCCACTTCTTTTCTGTGAGAATTGTGAGAATAATGGAAAGTTGCCTCAAAGTGATGGATAGAGTAAAAGTCTGAAGGAAGCTAGATAAATGCTGACAAACCTTTTCTGTAACCCAGTAAATCCCCGATGGGCACAACTCCTTATTACTTTGTTCAGATATAACCTGAGCCCAGTTGTGTCTCTTACAGATAACCCTAACGTGTCTGCCCCGCCCACCCTTACAGCAGGTCGACTGTCCATATTTCCTCCCTGCCAAAGGCATGATCACTGGCATCTCAAAAAAATGTAGAGTCATCACTGCTTCTGCAGAGCCCCTTCCTGTGGGGATCACAGCAGCTGTTGAACAGTGCGGAGCACAGTGGGGGTCAGACTGTAGAGAACCGAAGCCGGATCCTGGTATTGAGACTTACAAAAAGAGCCAATCATGGTATTGATACATTTGAAATACAATTGTATACTGCTTATTTTTAATGTATATGAAATTTGCCAGGCTCTGCTGAGAAATTCAAGTTAAGCCTAAATTTATAACAATTTAAACTTCAATCCCAGATAAGCTTAGGCACTAAGGTGAGTCTAACAGTGCATCCCCTGAAGGCAAGGCTGGTTGCTAAAAAGCACCCTGAGTGAGCAATTTGTATTTCAGAGCTTCCTAAGACAAGGGTCGAACCCTGTCAACGCTGCGTTTGTCCCTCCCCTGGGGGCGGAGAAGCCACGTCATTGCTTCCTGAGTCAAGGATCAGGGCTGTGGCCACACATTTTTTCGTCGCTGGGACCTCACCCACCCACCCACCAGCCACCCAGCAAAGTCCACTTCTTCTCCTAGCACTTCCAGCCTCTGCCAGTCCCAACTTCCCCAGCCTTTTTGTTGTGTTTTATTATGCAAATGATATCTTGGTTGAGGTCGAGCCATTTCTTGTGTCTGAAGTTAAAAAAAAAAAAAATGATAATTTCCTCAGCAAGTCATCGTCGTTAATGAAGTTTTACAAAAACAGATACAACCAAAGGAAAATAAAATTTCACAGGTGATAAATTTTTCCAATTTCCCTGGCAGAATTCGATAGGATTGTTAAATTAAGAGTGAAGGTGTCTGTTAGAGAGCAACGAGCAGTGATGGGTAATTTTATAGAGTGGAAAATTGAATCAAATTGCTACATTAAAACACAGCTCCTCTGAGAATCTTCCCTTTCACAGTCTGCTCCATCGCAACAGCAGGGTGCAGAAATGGATCTAATTCACAACGCTCCCTACAAGGAGATGTACTCCCCAACTTGGCCAGAGTCTTCCTAGTGAGCTCATTTTCCACTCACTCCTGCCCAGGCTTGGGGAAATATCCGGGTGACACTCTGCTTTGGGTTACAGCTGTGGAGGAGCGCTCGGAGAAAACCTCCCTGAGTCACTCAGCCTCCTGGGAGCAAGGAAGGGCCTTTTCTTTTCTTTTCTTTTTTAACTATATTTTATTGATTTTTACTGAGAGGAAGGGAGAGGGATAGAGAGTTAGAAACATCAGTGAGAGAGAAACATCGATCAGCTGCCTCCTGCACACCCCCTACTGGGGATGTGCCCTCAACCAAGGTACATGCCCTTGACAGGAATCAAACCTGGGACCCTTGAGTCCGCAGGCCGACGCTCTATCCACTGAGCCAAACCGGTCAGGGCAAGAAGGACCTTTTCATGCACCATGTTTAGCTCTCAAAGGAGCCAGGAAGGAGGGGTCTGGTGGTCAGAGACGGGGAGCAAAGAAGAGTTAAGGGACAGAAACCTCAGAAAATAAGACTTTTTCATGCACCGTGTTTAGTTCTCAAAGGAGCCAGGGAGGAGGGGGCTGGTGGTCAGAGAGGGGGAGCAAAGAGTTAAGGGACAGAAACCTCAGAAAATAAGATGAGTTTTAGCTCATCACCTTACCCCAGGTGGGCCAGTGAATGTATGATTGACTTCTTAACCATCATCCTTCCCCTGCCTTTGAAATCCCTACCCTTCGCCAGTGTGGCACTGCCCAGCTACCAGGGCCTTCCCCCAAAAATGGCACCAGTCTGAATGTGGCGTGGACTCCAAGGGCATGGAGACTGGTCTGCTGGCTCAAGAAAAGCCACCTACCCTCTGCTCACAAGTGGCCCTCGGGACTGGGGACAGCTGCACTGTGGGAGCGCCAGGGTCTCTTTCTGCGGGTGAGGGAAAGGTAGCTGACTTGTTGATAAGTTTCCAAAGGACAGTGCTGGACGCAGAGAACAGGTTCTTTCCCAAAAGCCTCTGTCTATCCATCACCGTTTTCAGAGATGGCATTAGAGGTGAAAATATATTGGCATTTAACTATGCTAGGAATATCTCCGCCATAAGTCTCCATCTACCCCGCTCAGATTGTTGCTTCTGAAATCGCTGTTAGTTTTGCATGTGCCACACTACCAGTCCTGGAGGAACTGAGAGGGAAAGTGAGGGGCCCACCATTGTCTCCCCTCTGCCGGCATCTCCCAAGACCGCCTACCAAGCAGCGCATGTGAGAGACAGCATGGTATCTCAGACACAAGTACTGGCTCTAGCCCTAGCTGGTTTGGCTCAGTGGATAGAGCGTCCACCTGCGGACTGAAGGGTCCCAGGTTCGATTCCGGTCAAGGGCACATGTCCGGGTTGCGGGCTTGTTCCCCAGTAGGGGGCATGCAGGAGGCAGCCGATCAATGATTCTCTCTCATCATTGATGTTTCTATCTCTCTCTCCCTCTCCCTTCCTCTCTAATAAGAAATATATTAAAAAATAAAAAAAGTACTGGCTCTAAGTTGGGTTGGACCTGCTCTGCCACCTGCTAGCTGTGAGGCCTGAAGCGAGCTATTTGCCCTTTCCCTGCGTGGCTTTCCCGTGTGTAGAATGGGGGTAAGAATAGTAGCTATCAAAGCGGGACGCCATGAGAAGTCTAGAATCGATGTGTGTAAAACACTGAGGGCAGAGCCCTGGCATACAGCGAGCACTCAATAAATGCTGCCTGTTGTTAATTTGGTGATATTTAAATAGGAAGTGTTTCTTCCTTGAAGAGTTGAGGGGTGGCTAGTTCCCCACCTCCACCAACCAGACCTGAGACAGTCCCGTTGGACATCGTCAGCACTGGGTAGGGAGCAGGTGACACTGAAAACCCTGAGCAGGTGGAATGCGGCGCACACCTTCTGCTCCGGCCCGTGCTCACTGCGAGGACAGGTGCTGGGTGGAGGGACAGCCGACAGCAGCGTTGGACTGTGCTAACATCGCACACCATCAATAGTGCACCGCTCACATTCGTCTCATTATAATAAGTCGGCGAGCTTTGTGGCAACGATTTAGCATTGATGGTTCTATCTCCCTCCTCTTTGGGATGGGGCCTTACCCCAGCCTCATGGTCTCTGTGTTGGAGGCCTTCTAAGTGAGATCCCCCCTCAGTAGGCTTGTTTTCCAGGTAGAAAGAAAAGTGCTTGCAACATACACCAAGGCCATACAAAAACACGTTTCCCTAATCAAAATAGCATATAGGTCCCCCAGTGAAAGGCACGACCTCACGTTAATCACGGGATGAGTAGCATTTGCTACATGGTACGCAACCTCCTTCCCATGAGAGAGAACCAGAGCAGGCGAGGTTTTCAGCCAAAACCACGGAAACGTTCACCCCAGATCATATGGTTTCCAGGTTGGTATCCGGTGGGATTTCTGAACATCCATGTTGAGCATATGGGGGCCCTTGATTTTTAAGATCTCATTTGCAGTCGATTAAACTGCAGGGAACTACCACAAAGAAATGCTAAAGCAATATGTGGGAAATGGCTGGCTTTTTCCGAGCCCGCTCTCGCCCCTCCCTGAAATTATTTTTCAGGCTCGCACAGGCCCAGTTCCCTGATTCCAGATCCCATAAAAGGACAACTTTTATCAGGTTTCTCTCTGTCTGGCCTCGATGCCAGAATCCAGCCAGGCGCCTGAGACCATTGAAGAGCTATAATAACTAGGGCCTTGCCGCAGCTGCAGCGGCAACAGTATCCGGCTGTGTTCTCTAGAGAGATTTCAGGAGAGCAAACAGAAAGAGAGACAAAGAGCCTTCCCTGGGAATTTCTGTGCACATTCCAGTGCTGCCTGCACGGCCCCCGAGGGTTATTATAGACTCAGAAACCGGATTGCATTAGAATAAAGCATATAACTGGGTTTGGTGGGTGGTGGTGTTTTTTTAATTTGACTCTAATGGAAACAAGCATTCTGTGGAATTATTTTCCCCTCTGTACCGTTGTCCAAACCCACAGGAAGGGGAAACAGTGATCATAGGAGGTCTAAGGAAAGAAAAGGGCAGACACCAAAGATACAAAGATTATGAAGAAAGTGGATTCCAATTTCACAGAAACGCAGCACTGCCTGCGGGGTGGGGGGGAACATCGGAGAAGAGTTGCCCCGGCATCAAGCTCCCTCTGAGCTCCCTGGCCTTCTCTCTGTCACTTCCGAGCGAGCGCACTGGGTCCCAGCCACACAGTGCTGGTTGGCCAGCTGAAAAACCAGAATCAGGCCGTTGTCTTCTCACTAGAATAGCGCCCCCCTGATTGTGGCTGATGAAACCCACCACAATGTGCTCAAACATGTCTCCTCGGTGACCCAGCTGGAACTGAGTTCTGTGTTAGCCCTTAGCGCAGGGATGTGTCTCCAGGTCTTTCTTCCCCCAGTTAGTAGGTGCTCAATTATTGCCTGTGAAATGGAGTTCAGAGCGTTCCAAGTATCGCAGTTAGCAGAAATTGACTTTAATATCTTGTACATCAAGGGATGCAGGTATTTTAAGGTAACCGTTGAGATTACCAAACACACACCAGAGAATTACGTGGGCTATTAGCATCCTGCTCGCATTTTCCATGCTGTCTGAAGAGGTGCAATCTGTGCACGGATTTATAACACAGATGTGCACGCTGCGGAGTGGTTCCTGTTCCTGCTTTTCTGCGTGCTCCCTTTGCACCCCGAGGCTGGCTGCATTTCTGTCGCATCTGTCACCAGTGCACCTTGACATCTGGATGCACCTTGATCCCGCTGGCGTTTTTTGAGCTTCTGCCACTTCACTTTGTTTGGGGGAAATGAGCTCCCTCTTTCGGACCTGGTCATTTTTTGAATGTTTCTCCCTCCGCGTCGGTTGGGCCAGTGTCAGGGCGGCACTTCAGGAAGGAGCCGGGTGTCATGGGAAGCTGGCTCTGCTCTGTGCCTCCGAAGTGGCGTCGGCGTCCCGTTCCTTGCAGCCTCTCATCAGCGTCCCTGACGTTGTGCCAAAAGCGTTGATTGAAACCAACTCTCTGGATACTGGGGCTCATTTGTGACGCCCCGTGGTTCTCTGACATGTTCACACCGTTAACGGGCTCTTCCTCAACTGTTTTCCCAGTTGAGATGAGATATTTGGGGATCAAGTAGAGCATTTAATGTAATAAGTGGACAATAATCTTTGGAGGTTAATTTGTTTAAAACCTATGTAAGGTTGGGGTCCCATATGCCCTGTAAAGAGCCAGGACAATTATCATCCACCACTGTTTAAAGTTGAGCTAGCACATACATTTTAATTCTCTCTTAAATGAAGATGTATTTCAGTAGATGTAATGCTAAAATGCCTAGTAGTTTTCTTCTAAAGAAGTACAATAAGGTCTTCAGCCTAAAAAAAATTATTTTTTAAATAATATCTTTTAAATTAAAACCTCACCTGACAGGTGAATAAAAATGAGAAATTGGGCAGTTTAACCCACTCTCTTCTGTGAGCATATACTCCTGCTGCCATATCATCGGTTTTCTTGGTTTGGGGGTTCAAAATGTAGCAATTTGATTTCGTTGGAGGAGGGAAGGTGCTAAGAGGTGTGACCTTCACTGCCAGCTGTGGAGGGTACTTTCCTTCCCTGTGGGATGGGACCCCCTGACTCGCTGAAAAAAGCCACAGAGACACAGCACCCAGCTTCTCCCATCAGCAGCGGGGCTTCTTGACTTGAGCCCACTTTCGGCCACCTGGGAAGGACAGCGTTAGACAGGACAGAGGTGGGGATGGGAGCTTCCCCCTTCACACCTGTCACCGCAGAGCTCAGCCATGGTGGGGAATGACACAGAAGATCTAGGGCCAGCTTCCTGCTTGCTTTCTCGGTGACTCCACGGCACAATGGGAGTCAGAATATCTGGTCTGGCATGGAACCGCCCAGAACAGATTTTTATTTTTTTCCATCCTCGTTTCATGACTAGATTAAGTGCTGTTGCCCGAAAGGATAAAGGAATCAAATTTTAGTTTTCATTTTTATCATTGCAAATACATTTACATTCTCCTATTTTACAAATGCAAAGAGCAGGCAAGCCACTTTCAATAATTTATTTTAAAATCAATGCTAATGAGGTTATGTCTCGTCAGTGGCCGAGTTTTACAATAAAGTCTGATTTATTTAGAAAAGATCTTCGGTGTAGCTTCCCATCTAATGGTGGTGGGAAGGAGGTGGAGTAGCAGGCACGGTGACCCTCCAACTTCGGATCCAATTTGTAATTCACAGCGGAGATCTGACCCAATTTACATTGATTAGAATTGGGAGGAAGAGACATCTGCGCACAGAGAGCAGAGGTAGGATAAACGCGCTCTGCAAAAGTGCCTAAGCACAGCACATTATTGAGCTCTGTGACTGAGTTGCCTGAGATCCAAATTATTGTGCATCTCTAACACCGAGGGTGTAGATGTACCAACTCTTCTTCTAGGAGTTGTTTTCAATCCTGTGAAATTAGTCCCGTGTCAAAAAGCAAGAGCATCATAGCAGAGAAAGAAGGAAGTGGGCAAGTAATAAGTCAGTGTGCAAAGAATGATGTTTAACGTGACTTATTTTGTCACCATCTAGAGCGTCTATTTGATTTCACTCTTCCAATATCTCACGTCTTTATTCCTAATGGCGGGGTGTGGGGAGCACTACAGGTGGCACTAGGAAAGTTCTGCTACTTGGTCATACATGGAGATAAGAAGAATTGAGTCAAAGTATCTTGTAGGGCCGAAACCGGTTTGGCTCAGTGGATAGAGCGTCGGCCTGCGGACTGAAAGGTCCCAGGTTTGATTCGGGTCAAGAGCGTGTACCTTGGTTGCAGGCACATCCTGGGTGGGAGATGTGCAGGAGGCAGCTGATCGATGTTTCTCTCTCATCGATGTTTCTAGCTCTCTGTCTCTCTTCCTTCCTCTCTGTAGAAAATCAACGAAATATTTTAAAAAAAAATTCAAAGTATCTTGTAGGGTAAATTATGTGTGTGTGTGTGTGTGTGTGTGTGTATAAATTTTTTACCTTGATAACACATTACTTATTTCTCCAGAGTATCAATCCTTTCCTTTTTTATTTTTGCCGGGAAATTGTATCATTTTGTATGTGAAACCAATGATTTCTTTAATGGTCTAAAATATGTTTATGCTATTTCGTCTTACTTATGAGCTTAGAGTTTATTTCCCCCAGTCTGACATATCAGAATTCATATTGCCCTATAAACCTTATGTTTTTAAAAAGCCATCTCCTCAAAAAAGTTCCATTCTATGTGGAAGCAAGAGTGGTAAGTGCCCTAAGATCCAGGAGGAGAAAGGAAAGGAAATGTAGACAGAAGAAACATAAGTGTTCAGCCCTCAAATTGTTACTTATTATGCCCCATTCAGTGTGTGTGTGTGTGTGTGTGTGTGTGTGTGTGTGTGTAAGGACTCATGCTTTCTTTATAAAGGCCCAATGTCATCAGGTAGTATGAAGTCTGAGATGAAACAGGTTAATGAGGATCAGAAACACAGGCCAATCATGTTGTGACTTTGACCATGGAAACACCTGACTGGACTCAGACAATAGCAGTGACTTAGAACCCATTGTGTACGTGTAGCAATTAATTAAAAGACCATTCCAACTGCCCTCAGGAGCTTACACTCTAGTGAACGAGGCAGGCTGAATAAGACCAGTAAAAAGATAATGACAAGCCCCAAGTGCTAGGAACATAAATTTATGTACATGACCAGCTTTTGTTACGGCTGAACAAAGCCTGATACATTAAGGACTCATTAATCACGGAGGTTTTAAACACGTGCTCAGCTTCACATGCTTGTGTGTGTGCAGACCCCCTCCCCGTCTCCACATACACACACACACACACACACACACACACACACTAAGTCTGGACATTCACATGGGGATGCTACATGTTGAAGAGAATTCCAGAAGGTGAGAAGCAATGGGATTTTAGGAAAAGGACTAGGACGTAGGGATAGGCACCTGAATAATCCAGTGGATTGCCAGGGATCCTGCCAGGCCTGTCCGGTTCCTAGTGCAGTGCCTTGCGTATAGTAAGCACTTTAAAATGTTTGTGAATGAATGAACAGGGAGGGAAGAGGGAGAGGGCCTGTTTGAAGGTAAGAGGTGATTTAAAAAAAAAGAACATGGTAATTATTTCCTTAAGGAAGAGAGCGTGATGAGTTCAGAGGTATAAAAAAACACAAGACTATTGACCATTAACTGCTAATGCTGACCATGTGTGTCCCCTCAGATGAAGAGCTCGACCTAGAAGAGGATGAGAGTGGCACTGGACAAAAAAGAGGTATGAGAGCTCCACACGTGTACAGGCCCTGGGTAGGACACTGGGCTTCTGGCCGGAGAAAGCACCTTCCTTATAGTACAGGACTCACTAATTAAGAAGATACTGGTGTGTCGATCTCAGAAGCCCCAAATAAGATGGACTGGAGAGGGAAATATCTTACCTCTAAAAGCCGCCACCCATTCATTTTAATTAAGGTCCCGGAACAGTTAGGATTTATCCTAGAGAAGGAGGCAGCCAACCCAGATATTTATTTTTCCCTGTCAGTATTTCTGAAATCAGTACGGGGGAACTAGAATTGCCTCATCTCGAAGAGATCGGAGGATTGAGAATGGAGAGAATGGAAATGCCCCCTCCCCGAGAGGCCCGGAGATTGCACGTTCAGAGGGGAATGGGAACGTGTCAGACCTGAGGAGTGAACGTGGCTGAAGGATAGCGTTGCTTGGTGATGCTGACTCCTGATGGCCCGGTTAGATTCCAGGCACATTCGGGAATGAATATGTAACAGGTTTGCTGAATACGAAATCCCATCTGATTCATCTCGGACTGTTAACCGTGCTTCGGGCTCTTAGAGAGCCCATCCTTTCTAAGGTCAGGAGACCCTCTAAAGCCTCCTTAAGTGGACTGAGGACCTATTCTGTCATCATCAGTAAAGGGATGTGTGAGGCAGGGCCACCGCAAGGACATTTCATTCCATCAGCAAAGCCTACATTGTGGCTGATTTTTTTCTTCTTCTTCTTAGAGATTCTCTGAGTCTTAAGCCTAGGAATTATTTTCCTCTTCCCCTCCCTGCTCCCTCTCCAATTCTCTGTTCCCATTTTTTTTTTTTCCTCTTTCTCTTCTCTCTGCCTTTCCGTGTGACTTTTCTTCTCCTCTGTATCCATTCAGCAAAACCCCTTTCCGTGGCTCATTCCCTACAGAAAGCGAATATGTGACAGGTCTTAGTGACGGACCCAACTTCATAAATATCCAACTTCTCCCAACGGGGAGCAGAGACAGCAGAGTCATGGGCCAAAGAGGAGAGAAAGAAAGAACAGAGGAGGATGAGGCGGGAGTGTTAGCGTAGCTTCAAGTCAGTGCCTCGTAACAGCACGTGACTTAGTCCATTCCGAAACCCGTCCCCCTCCTGTTTCCCACTTGCCGTACAGACTTCCAACAGAAAATCTGTTTCCTGACCAGCCCGTGCCCCATGTATGCCTTTTCTCCTCTAGTTTCCATCACCGGAGCAGGAAGGAAACACTTCACGTGGACAGCGCGGGTGGGAGACCTGGAAGCTCCCTGTGGCCAACTTGATAGTAAACTTCATTCAGGAAGCAGCAGGCTTCTGGCAAAAGTCTAAAAATTCCGTTTCAGACTCCTCCTTCATCTCACTTCCTCCTTCTGCCTCTCTTTATAAGGTTCTATCTGGGGGTGGAGAGGGGCAGGGTTGAGGGAGATTTATTTCCTGTTTCAGCAGCTATAATTCAAGTAGGTTTTTTTTATATATTTTTTTTTAAAAAAACCTTTTGTTCTTCATGCTTCCTGCCTCCAAAATAGGTGTTGTTAATGTGTCGTGAGCTCTAAATATGTTTCTATGGTTTATACTTCACCAGTTATAATGATTGGTGACTTGGTGATTAAAAATACAGAGGAGGGCTTTTCGCGCTCTCTGCAGAATCTGAGGCAGGAATTTTTATTATTTGTGTTTACTTATTTATTTATTAAATTTATAGAGCGCCTTTTCTCCAAAGGAGCTGTAGCAACAGCAACACATATGTAACATCCAAATGCCATCGCTTAGCGTTATAACAGTTAAACATGAAGGTCCGGAGGAAGGGTCGGCAGCCCCACCGGAAGCCTGTGAAAGGCACGGGACTCTGTGACAATGTGAATGCCTATGTCATAGACAAGCTACACAAGTTGGGCTCGCTTAGTTTTACACGCTACACGAGTTCGGTTCATTTCGTTTTTTCTCAGGTGACACATGCCTTTTGAGGGGGGAAAATGTCTTTTCTCCTAAAAGATACGGTGGTTAGCAGGGTTACCTTTAAAACCCGTTTTCTCTACCATTCCAGGGATACACTCCCCACCTCCCCCCACTCCCCCGCTCCCAATGCTGCCCTTTCCCCTAATGGAATTGCTAACATTTTTAAAGCCCAACTAGATCGTATCAGAAGAGGAGGGGAAAAGGAATTCAGTGTATCCTGATTGGGTGTTAATGACCCTGGAAGACGTGATTTCTTTTATTTTATTCGGTTACCTAGGAAATCTATCACAGCCTTGTAGTATTGATTGTCCAATCTATAAAGAGCTTGGTTTACAGCATGACTGTTAGTAACAGGGTTATTTTAATGAGGGACTCTTCAACACCTCAGATGTTCACTAAATCCTAACCCATCAGCCTAACAGGCTAACACTAAGTGTCTTCAGTGATGAGTTTATCTCCCTCTCCTATCATGAGAAGGCAGTGTCCAGGTAACCAGAAATAAAGCTCATTCTGGGTTGTTTATATGAAAACTACTGGCCATTTGCTTGGGCTGCCATGAATTCTCGGGCCTGGATAACCTTATTAAGGAATGAATGGAGCCCTAGCCGGTTTGGCTCAGTGGTCGGCCTACAGACCAGAGGGTCCCGGTTCAATTCCAGTCAAGGGCATATACCTTGGATGCAGGCTCCTCCCCAGCCTGGGCCCTGGTCTGGGCTCATGCAGGAGGCAACCAGTTGATGTGTTTCTCCCACATCACTGTTTCTCTCGGTCTTTCCCTCTCTTTTTCACTCTCCCTAAAAATCAACGAAAAAATATTCTCGGGTAAGGATTAACAAAAATCTATATCCAGGCAGTCCTCAGGTTACGTCGGACTCGACGAGCCTTGTTTCGTGGTTACGTCGCCATCTCCCATTTATTTGTTAAAAAAAAAAAAAGTTCCGTCATGTTGACGTATGTACATATGTGCTTTATGCTTTTTATTATTTATTTACCACAGGTAAAGGTCAGGAATTGTTATCGTTCTTTTAAAATTTTTTTAATGTTTCACTTCATTACTGCTGTGTATGTGCTCCATGTGAGTGACGTAGGTGCTTATGTAGGTGGGTTCTGACTTCCGGTGAAAATCGTGTTATGTCGCATCGTAGGAACGGATCTCCGGATCTCCGATGTAACCCAAGGACCTACTGTATATAAAAGCCTAATATGCAAATTGTTCCCATGGGAGTTCGACCAGGAGACCGGGCGTTTGATCTCTTGCTATGACGTGTGCTGACCACCAGGGGGCAGTGCAGAATGAAGGAAGGCCCCTGCCAGCAGCCAGCAGCCGGGGGAAGGAAGGCTCTGGCCAGCAGCTGGAAGGGCCCGATCAGCCCTGACCACTGGCCAGGCCTAGGGATGCTACCCATGCACAAATTTCATGCACCAGGCCTCTAGTAATAATAATAAATAAATAAAAAGCAGAGACGGCGACACAAATCATCCTTAGATACATCAAACCTCTGACCGAGGGAGATCTTGAAACAGTTTATTTTCACTCTGAAATTGTGGGCAAACTCAGCCAAAGAGGAGTCCATGTTTAGTAGTTTCTGCAAGACAGAAAAATGGTCACTGATGAGCGTTCCATCCCCGAGGCATTCTGTTCCCTTTGGTGCCCGCCCGCGGGGTGAACTATTCCACCGAAGAAACAGAGGGAAGCCACAGAGGTATTTGCAGCCCTTACTTTTTGAAACTTATTTCCCAAGACCAAACATGAGTTAATGATCAGCCAGCTACCATTCTGGCCCAATGAAAGGAGCACGGGAGATGAGAATCTAGATCTGTGAGTGTCCTCACTTCAAGATCATAGTTATAACATTAAGGATCATAACTTCAAAAGTCAAGATTAAAGAGTTATAAAACCCAGCAAATGGTATTGGTCAGTTTGCTCTTCCTGTTCTGAGTCATAGTCAATGAGCTTGGCACAATTTTTCATGCGTTTCCTTCTGAATTAGTTAACACGGTATCAGACAGAGACTACTTTAATGGACTGAACATAGTGGCCTTTTCAAGTCCTTTCCAATGGGCCACTGCTTTGGCCTTCTTTGTCCAAGTCTTACCAACCCAGGCTCTAGCAGGGACTGGCTTTATGTGTCTTCTCATTCTTTCTCTTTTCTATAATTTGTTACGTAGTTGTCCCCAATGCCAGGCCTGGTTGGCACAGTCCTTTTGCTCATCAAGAAAACGTAAACACAGATGGACCCGCCTTTAGTCTCTCTCTCTCTTGGTCGCAGCTTGAGTTCCGGAACTGCCCAACGTCCCCCAAACAAAAGCCCGAGGTAACCTATGAACTCTGGAAGGAACATAGTCACGTTCTGCTGTCCCTAAGGAAGGCAGAAAGGGGTCCTGGTCCTTTCGCCTTAGAACTGTCCACATCAGAGAGGCTCGTTTCCGTTACAGGAGAACTTACTATCACTGGTTCTGAAGAACTTGGTGTGGAATGACAAATGCTTTGCGGTAAATACCTAGAAAAGAGAGAAAAACAATATTTTTTTTAACTTGGTCTGTTGCTCTTTTTTCCTTTTTTTTGAATTGAGTATTTGCTCTTTTTTCTATGACATTTTGTTTACTGGAGCTTAGCTTCTCTTACATGAGATAAAGAAAATAAGACGCTGCCGCGCCCCCCCCCTTTTTTTCCTCTAGTAAAATTCCTCAGCTCTGCTAGCAATTTAAAAGCCGTGATCATACCCATTAGCTTCTCCATCATTGTAATTGTTGTTAATTGTTATAACTGTTTTAGTTATTAGTGTTGTCATTATTGCTCTAGGTCCTCTGTCTGTTTTATGCTGAATATATTAGTGCTTTGCTTTTGAATTACCAGGCTTTATTTAGTGCAGAGTTACATTTTTTTTTTGAGAGGTATTGAGAAATACTGGCATTATGCTTTATTCTTTTGTTTCATTCCAAATGGACAGACTGGGGGGAAAAATAATTAGATGGAATAATGTCCTCAAAATGAGAATGTTTTGAATTAATTAAGTGGTCAGAATGCTGCACCGTTTCTGATCTCAGAGTGCTGCCTCCCCGGCTGGATGGTAGGCCTGAGGGCAAGGACCAAATGTGGCCAATGTGGAATTCCCAGCATCTAGCAGAGTCCCCAGCACTTAGTAGGTGCTGTGTACGTGGTTGTTGAATGCTGAGGAATGAATGCAGTGAAGCTGTGTATACTCTTACACGTGAATGCCAACCACACATATGTTATACAGGGAGTTTGCAATAGTGAGTCCAATCTTGTCCAGTTCAGGTGTTCCTCCTCCCTGATTTCCTTAATACCAGAATACTGTCCAAATAGCAAGTCTAACCTTTTCCTCATGTTTAGCCTTTCATTCTGCTTATTTTTCAGAGTTTTTTGGGTTGTTTTTGTTTTTGTCATGGGTCTGACGATTCCAGTTCCTGGACTAGGCTGACCTATCTCCTGGATTCCTGAGCTCTATCTTCTTTTGGCCTTCAGCTTGTAAAGAACTGAAGGCATTTTCTTTCTTTCTTTTTCTTGGAAGGTTTTCCTTTTCCTCCTAACTTCTTCCTTTCTCTGTCTGAGCTATTGTGCTTTTAGAATAGGCCTTTTTTCAGGTGTTCTCCCCAGATGCCTTATATCCTCAATATCATTTTTTTTTTTACATATATACCCAAAAGGCACTCATAGTCTTAGGCGCTACCTCACATCCAGGCATGTGGGGAGCAATACCCTGCAATGACCATCTGTTAGGCCAGAAAAAGCCAAGATAATGTTGTTGGTCTTACCATTTGGATATATCATTGTTTTAAAAATCCACTTTTATAAATTTCCTCTACCATGTTATATTGATGTCAATATACTTTTTATCCCTAAGTTTAGTCAAACTCTCTGGGTGATTAATCAACTCCATTCCGACTGCTTTCACTTTCCAGGGACTGATATTTCTCTACTATTTCCTGCACTGATATCCAAGAAATATATACCTTGTCCTTTCAATAATTAGCATTTTTATCCCAAAGTATTGTTTCTTCCAAAAATATTCCGAACTGTGGCAGAATATTTCCAGCGTAGTTGTCTTGTTTGCTGCCCTCTGTTGTCTACTGCATATACAAACCATTTTCTGTGGAAAGAAAACATAGCTGAGTTTCTATATGGTTAACATTTTTACTTCTGTTTGTAATATCTGAGTCCTCACTAAATAGCTCTGTACCACCTCCGTTTTTGTGTGCGTTAAGCTTCCTACTAAAGTTCATTTCCAGAGACATACATAGGGGTGTTGATCCCCTGTGCCTTTATTATTTGAATTGCTCCTAAGTTAATAACAAGCAGAAAAAAGGCAAATATAGCCAGGGCCTCTGCCTCCCTCCTCCCCCCACTGCCCCAAATCTATTCCCACCCTCAGCAACTAGCACCATTACTCCTCAAGGGAGGCTCAAGGCAAATGAAGAGAAAGATGGAAACTGGTAAAAAAAAAAAAATAGGGTCCCCCCCAAATCACTTAAATTTTCATGAAAACCCAGGACTCCTGACTCCCAATGATAGGAGTGTCACCTTTGGTGGGTGCTTTGCTTAAAGCTCTCATACACAGCATCCTAAGGAACGGGGAGCGTTGCCACATTATCCCTGGCCGAGTGGGCATTCGCTCTCCCGCCATTCAAATCCCCAGATCCTCTCCCACTTTGTACGCTAGTGTTTAACCTTTCCGGGTAGAAGAAGATCAATACAAATTCTTCATTGTTAAGAATCGATGGCTGTCCTGTGGCATCACTGCCATCCAGTTTTGCTGAGAAGCTCAGTAAATCTCTCCAGCTGCTTCTACAGCTTGGTTTGTCGTCTTGAGTTGCTTTCATTTTTAATGCAGATCACTTTGGTTTCCGTTCCCCTGAGGGCTGGCAGATAGATCTTGGCAGGCGTGTTCAGGATCTACAAATGAGCTGCTGGCAAAGGGCCAGCCCACCCAGAATGTAGTTGTAATGGATGAGACACCCCCTTGGTTCCACTTAAAGACTGAGCTATTTGTTTCCGTATTTATTGGTGATTGCCTCCTATAGTACCTGGGTGGGAAGTGTCCAGGATGAAGTTCCTCTGTAACAGAGGAGACCAACATGGGAGACTGCGACGCAGACACGGGCTGGTTGGCTCAGCCTCTCTTGTAAATAGGAAGTCAGAGACTTACCCCATTCCTTCCAGTGCATCATGAAGAGAAGCACTGATGGTGTAGACGCCCTGGATTAAGGGAAGTCTAGCAGGAAATCTCTTGGTGCTGCTTCCATACAGGCCACGTGAAAAATTACCTGCCTGGTTTTCTTTTGTTAATAAAGGAATATATTTATCATATTATTGAACAGCATCCGACGAAGGGTGATCTGTAAATATTTAATGTTAGTTAATGATCTCCCTCTCCCACAGTCCTTTGCTCATGCTGAGTATTTAGGGGTATCTCATCCCGGCCACCCTGAGTCTTGGGCTTCCTAGGGGCAATATAGAACCCTGGCTTCCATTGGCAGCAAAAATGTGGGCTCTGTGGGAAAAGACGGAGTCTTTTTAACTTTGATTTCTCCTCTCTTTGATCAGTGGACTATGCCAGTTATTACCAGGGCTTATGGGATTGCCATGGTGACCAGCCAGACGAACTGTCCTTCCAGCGGGGTGACCTCATCCGCATTCTGAGCAAGGTAAAGACACCAAGTGTGGGGCCTGGATCAAACGTTTATTTTTTCACTCTTGAGGGTGTAGTCACCATCACCAGAATTATTCCGTGTCATACACTTCTCTTGTGCGTATTACGTGGCTGCCTCACACATAAACTCCCATTGGTTTGTAATTCTTAGGGAAAATTTTAATTGAAAATTCAGACCCAGGAACCAATTTTCAAGTTTAAAAATACAACAAGGTAGACATAATACTAAAGCTATGCCAATCAAAATCTGATCTTTTTAGGGTCTTTTGATATTTAAAAGGTCATCACTATGTACATAATTTATGATCATATAATACTCTTAAAACCATTCTGGCTACATCAGATGCCTTGTTTCATTTATAGATAAACAAGACTGTAATATAATTACGTGTGGAGGGAGGAGTCAGAGCTAGCTAGCTCAATTGGTTTGAGCAAGTGCTGATAAGACCAAGATAGTGAATCAAACCCCACAAGGGCCAGCTAACTTTATTCTCTTCCTCAGTCACAAAGCTAACCCCTAGCCCCAGCTAATCATCTCACAAATAGTGTTGCTGATCATAAAAGAATTGGGGGAGAAAAAAAGGACAGATTATTATAGATCCATCACCTATGTGGAAAAGATTCAGAACTGATGGGCTACTGAGGAATCAGTAGCATTCTCTTTGTAATTAAATACTACACATTCTGTATAGGTGGACTAAGGAACTAGGTCCCTAAAAAAAAAAAAAAAACTTATTTAAAAGTTCTTTCTCTTGCCCTGGCTAGTGTGGCTCAGTTGGTTGGAGTGTCATCTTGCACACCAAAAGGTGGTGGGTTTGATTCAGAGCACATACCCAGGTTGTGGGTTTACTCCCCGGTCGATGTTTCTCTCTCTCAAATCAATAATTTTTAAATGTTTATTGTTGTTTACAAAGTTTTCTCTCTCTCTCTCTCTCTCTCTCTCTCACTGAGGTCAATCAAGATCTACAAACACATTTTTGAAATAGGCATAATTTGCTCTTTAATTGATGAGTATGTGGATTCCATAAAGCAATATTGAAAACCCACTGTGTCAGTAACCCATCATTTGCTGTTTATCTAAAGGTTTGTCTCAATTTAAATATACCACAAGCTCCTTAGGAAACACCAGGCTGACCCAAGGTACCTTTCAGTGGTTCCCACGAGGCCCCTCGGACCCAGGACCAAATTCAGACCTCACTCTTTTCAAGAGAGTAGGCGGCCTCAAGAGCCCTGCTGAGTGAGGTCACAATCTTCTAGTGTTTCCTTCCAGAGTCCTAACTCACCACCCCCGAGTGCCATTCCCCTGCAGCTCTACTACACCAAGAATAAATTGGGAGCAAAGAAGGGAGTGGACGTTGCCCTGATAGGTATTTCAGATGCCCGAAAGCGAGGTTTGCGTGTAATAGAATTTGTGTACATTACCACGCTGGCATTATAGGGGTAATCGAGTTATCCACTCAGGTGTGACCGGGCCTCTGTTTGCCCAGAGCCTGCAGGTGAACAAATTAACTGTTTACATTGTCTGAGGGGCCTGCAGCAGGAGGTGGGAGAACAGAGCCAGACTGTCTGCTGGCCCTCTCTCCCGGTCATGATTATTTTGTTGGTTTTGCATGTCTTTTGCCTTTGTTAATGGCTTCTCACTGGGGGTCCGTTTCCTCCATTTAGCAGTGGCGGTGTGGTGACTTGCCCGGCAGTAAGAAGCTGTCTGTAGTTAGTTACCATGGCTGTGGTGTTTTTAAGAGACACCAAAGAACCTGGGAACCTCCCCGACCTGTGATTCTTTTTAACCAATCTTTCTTCCCTTCTTCCATTAAAAAAAAGCTAATCTGCCATAATTTAATTCAGTGAGAATACCTTGCTGCCCTGGCTCTATCAGGCTTCCTTCTCCATCTTTGAAAGGTCATGAGTCCATTTCATCCCTTACCATGGTAGTAGCACCTTTCTTTCCCCAAAAGCCAAACCAGCTGCCCCCCTTCTATCTCCATGTTGCTAATTTCTGCACGGCAGAGGAGGAAATGAGAAACTAGAAGCTCCACTGAAGTTTCCCTCATAACATTCCCGTTAACATTGGCTTGGAGAGCCTTTGGAATTGGATTTACCTTTATTATATAACCTAACTCAATGAGTCCTTGGACAGGAAGGAACCTTAAAAGGCCACCCAATTCGTTCCCTTGCCTCGAAGAAATCCAAATTAACAGATTCAGACAGATAGAAAAGGAGATTCCACTACCATTCCCAACTGTCTGTCTACTCAGGCGCTCGGTAATTCCTTGTCTCTGGGATTTTCTCCCATATGGATCCTAAACTCATTCCACTTTCGCCCCAGCTGGCTTCCTTTGTTGGAGTCAGTGACGGTCTGCAGCCAGGAGGAACAAAACTGACCCAAGTTGAGGTTAGTCCAGAAAAACAGTTCTAGAAATCTCCGTTTTACTTTCTCCCTGGCCAGTAGAACCTGTGTCGGGCAAGAAAGGCCGGCTGTTTAGGAACCTGAATGAGCCTGTTTCCCTGAGAAATGCAAGACAAGAAAGACTCAGCTAACCTAGACCAGTTTCCTGACCTGTAAAAGGAGGGAGTTCTGTTGGATGACCTCTAAGATTCCTTCCACCTGATACTGCAAAACTACTAAAGAAATCCCACACACACAAAAAAAATGTATTTATTCAGATTCAGTGAACAAAAATTTCCAATTATGAGCTCTTTTGTGTTTGGCCATCATAAATGTATCTGGTTCCCCACCCCCCTCTCATATAGGATAAAAGAAATATTTTGAAGGGGATGGTTGGATAACAGAAATGGCCCCGGGATAGGGAAGTGAGTGGGAAGTGAGGGGGGTTGTGGAGGAGGGAGAGAGATAGATACAGCTTTATTCTTAGGGTCATGCTGCCCCCTACTGTTTCTTAATAGTTGCCCACGTATGACCCAACCTTGAATCCTAGAATCCCAGGGCCAGGGGAGGTTGTTAAGACCTAGGGCCTTAGGGCAGAAAGGATCCAAAGAGTTATTTACTCTTTTTTTAAAAATCCAGAGAGGAAGACTGGTTGGGTAAGAAAGATGTACCCCATAGATAACCACATGCCCAGTCACCTGTTCTGTTCTTAGGGAAGCAAGTCAGTAGCAGAGGGGTTACGTATGTGACCTTGAGCAGAGTCACTGAATCTGGTTGCTCCTCAGTCTCCCCATCTGTAAAAATTGGACTAACTTCTATTCATAGGGTGTTGTGATGCTCACATGGGAGAATGTGTGTAAAGAAGTGCCTGGCATCTAGGAAATGGTAACTATCAACCTCCCTTTTCTGCTAACAAACTTTTTGGGTCACTGTTGGATACAAACGAGCAGTTCAATAAACTATTGGTGAATTGAGAGAGGAAAAATGGGTAGCCTGTCCAGCCAAGATCTCTTCATGGAGATGCTCAAGAGCACAAAATGTGCTCACTTAGAAATAAAAAAAATAAAAAAAAGTGCAGAGACCTACGTGGAAATCCACCAGGTCATTTCTGGTCTGAGATTTCATCACTGACAAAAACGGCTCAAGCTTCTCCTCTGAGGAGAGGCCAGAGCCGTGTGTCCAAGCTCTGAAACAGTGCCCAGTGGCCTAGCCAGCCGGACTCCCGCTGACCCACCCCTAACACATCCATGCAGTCTTCAGCCCCATGCCGTCTCATGCCCACTTAATTCACGGACTTCCAATTTGGGCCTTAAAATATCTTAAAGGGAGATTTTAATAACGAAGCAGATCTGTGCACCCAGCGATGCTGACGTTCCTTCCTTCCTTCTGGACCCAGTTAGTTCTGAAGAGTTCTTTCTGACGACCCAGGGACTGAGCTCAGCTTCCACCCGGTGCAGGGGTGCAGCTCAGGCCGCAGCGGGGCGCCTAGCGCTCTTCGGTGCCTCCAGATTGTGGCGCTTGTGCAGGTTCCCTCAGACGTAACCGATGGCTCCTGGGAGCCTGCCTCTCGTAAATTACTTCCCACGATGCCTGCGACCATGGCAGAATGCAAGTTTGAATAGAGCAGGGAAAAAGGTGTTTGAAAGGCCTGTTCACTCAGCTGCATTTTAATTTCCTTTTCAATCTTGTCCCAATTAATTTCACAGAATTAATCTCACAGAAGCCACTCGGCAGCACTGAGGCTGCGGTTTTAGTGTGGCGGTCGCCCTGCCTGAACATGAAATAGGAGCTAATATAAAAATCCATCTGCTGTGTTTGAAATACACGCCGGCTGCTGCTCAGTCCTGTCTGACATTCCAAACATCAACAGCGGGGAAAAGTGATTTGGGGGTTAGTGGCCATCAGTACTTGGCTGGGGTTCAACAACAGGTGTACTCCAAAAATCCACTCAGCCTGGGCAGCAGGCATGACAGGGCAGGTGCGGAATCGCCCTCCGTGCAATAGCGCTGTGTTCTGGCTTCGTTTCTCTTATGTGGGGATCGGAAGGCCCTTCTGGGGCCCAGCTCTGCTGTGGGCATGGATTGTAAGTGGGGAAAGGGGAGGTAAGAAGCCTCAGTCTGGATCAGACAAGTCACAGGTCCCGGCTTTCAGAGGCGTGACTCTGTCTTCCTGGCTCCAAGGTCTCTCACCATAGTACCCTTTTCCTACGTAATAAAAATGCTTGTTCCACTATGCAAGGTAACTTACATTTAAAGATTAAGCCTCCTTTTCCGGAAGTCGTATATAGCGGTGACATGAGCTGTCCAGCAGGTAAGGGTGAATTAAAGAGAGAACGGGAGAGAAACTCCTTCTCAATTGGCTAGAAAGGACAGGAGGTCCCTGAATGATGTCTTGCATTTAAGGTAAACCAAGTCAGCAGGCTGCCTCTCTTGGGCTTACGTTGTGTGCCTCATGAGTTGGCCTCAGGCTCCTCCCACGATCTGTCCAGCTACTCCTCCCCATGGAAATCAGCCTTGCAGCAACAAGTTGGGCACCGCGTACGGTTTACGCTTACTTGGCAGCCTAGCTGGGGTGGGAAGATACTCTTGTGGCCCAAACACACCGACTTC